TTTTTTTTTTGCAATCGTGATAGAAATGTTCAACTGTCATTTATGGAATAGCAATGATTTCTTAGTTTTTATAGGAGACGTAATTAAATTTGAAAAAAATATATTTTCAGGTGAAGTATTTGAAAAATTAGAGGACGAGGACGAGCAGGGCTGGTGCAAAGGAAGAAAGGACGGCAGAGTAGGTCTTTATCCAGCAAACTACGTCGATGTCGTATCCCAGTAATGAGTTTATATTTTGAAAACCTCTTGAAAAAAGCCAAATTCCAAGTGATTAATTCAATTAATCGCACCGTGTGCATGAATAAACATTGAAATGCTTAATTATTCATCACACGGATGGACAAGAAAAGGGCCCCTTGTTTATAATCAATTCAATAAACAAATACTGTCACTAATGACTAGTGAATCCCCTCACCTATCAAAATTTCAAGAGGTTGAGTTGTTCGTAATTCGTTGTTCAACGAAATAAAACAAAACGTAAGACGAAAATAGATAAGAAAAATATAGAGGCCAGTTTGATACATTAAAATGGCAGGCTGGTTGATGTTATTATTATTATTTTTTTTGTTTTCAAATAAATCTGAAAGAAATGAGTTGTGAAAGAATTACCGAGGACGATTGAATGATTTGAAATTGTCTATCTGGAATGCTAGCTTAGTGTATGGAAATAATACCAGTATAATATACAGGAAAAAGATATATATGAGAAAGAAAATCATCGCAAGTATTAAAGGGTGCGATGGAAAAATGCGTATGCCAATTAATAGATTTTTTTGAATAAAAGAAGACAATTGTACAGATTTGCGTTTTTCTTGTTCCCTAGACTTATTACTGAAACTAAGTCTTACTTACTTATCGGGAAAATCTCACTTCCTATTTATCCTCTTATTATTTCGGCAGCAAAAACAAGATATTAAAAATTATATTTAATTTATTGTTATTATAATTATTAAATTTTTGAGTTAATATAGTATTTGCGAAAAACAAAAAAAAAAACCTTTATGAATGATGTCATTGTAAATAATAGTTATCCTTATAATAGAAAAGTACATTGAAGTTATTATTGTATGGTTTTAGATTCATTAATTATTATATCAATGATCAATGTTATTGACACGTTACACATAAACAAATTATATTCTCCCCTTCCTTCCCCAAATAATTGTATTACAATTAAGAAAACACGGGACCCAAATTATAGTCTGTTTTTTAATACGGAACACAAATGGAACAGAATAAACAAATACCAAATTCGATTAACAAAAAATCAGACTAATTATTGAGGAAATTTTTTCCTCCGATTATTTGAACAACAAATGTCCCAATAGCATTCTCATCTGTATGGGTGAAATTTAAGGAGTGATATCAGATAGGCACGGCGGCGATGTGTGAGTCGAGCGTAAAATGGTCAAGTTTGTAATGCTATTTTCTATATTTATGAAATCAAAATGACAAGCATTGTAAAAATTATATTTATCATCAATATATAGAATTGATGATTAAATCGCATTGATATTTTTGAGGGTCTAATGTAGATAAATGTTGTTTCCGCAGTTGGCTTATATTATCAATATAAGGAATAAATTGAATGATTAATTGATGAAAAACCAATTAATTAAGCTACGTGGATTTTTTTATAGGGCTCCATTTCCGTCACTTGATCATTTACTTATTTTGACTTATTTACTTAGATAGTATATTGCCGTATTGCGCCCAAAATTATTGAGTCACTCCTTAAAAAAGACCAGACTATTTTGTAGTGAAATGGTAAAACTTAATGGATTAATCATGATATTCTCGGTTTTCTTGATGTAATCCTGGTACGATTGAGGAATTTTGAATATCAATCATCAGAATGATTCCAAATTAAATCTTACCAATTCAATACGGTATTATGAAAGATAATACATACACATTCCCCTTTGTTGTATATAGTCTTCTTCTATAGGGGTACTAATGATTGCACTAATGATTGCTTAGGCCAATCATGATGCCAAGGTTCACTTGGATGACGACGTGAATGAGGATATTTGACATTTTTTAAAGTCATTTCATCAAGATGTTCGTTTCTTCTGTTTAAATGAAATAATCATTAAAAATCCAAGTCAATGGAGAAGTTTTCGTTGGACATTGTAATAAATCAATTAAGTTTTAGAAAATGAAATTCTAGAAAATTGGTTGAGATTTGGTGCTATGGCAGGCATGTCGATATTTCGATTTGTTGAATTATTTGGGTGAATTTATTGATTAAGTCGTGACTTTAACAAATTCGAGTGGAATGGTAGAATGTTACGTGTTGTATATTCCAGTATTCAACTATCCAAATAATAAAAAATAACTTGTGACGATGATTAAAATATTCAATGGATATTTTTTAATTTTCCTTGCTAACGGTTTCGACAGGCAATCTCGCTCATTTCTATATCTTATAGAATTATACTCAATTATTCTTGAGTTGATTCGTATAAAACTGTAAGAGAGTAAAAGAATAACTCCCATAAAAATGGAAAATTTTCACTGATCTTGTAACGCAGTGGAATGAAATTAATTTAATTTGTACCAATCACGTGAACAAGACGAGAACTAGGAGAAAAATAGAGGAATATCTGTAACTAAAAAAAGTTTGTAGTGGCTCTTAATCATTTTTTTTGCAAATGTACATTGTCAAAGAACAATTTCGAATGTGTCTTATAAAAATGAAAATATTTTACGTCAAAAGAAGACTTTTGATGTTTGCTCTAAGTTCCACCCTTTAATTTGATAATCCTGGCATTTTGTAGATATGTAGAATTTTCCAATATTGAAAACTTTATTATTGTTTTCTCCATTTGGCATATGGGAGAGAAATCAAAACACAAAAATTCTCTTATTTTTTCTTATTTATATTTGAGTTGGATGCCAAGTATAACTATGGTTGAACAATGGTTCTGAAAACATACACAAATTGTTATTGATTCTTCGTTCCCGGAAATAATTATTTGCATATCAAGATAGTGCGCATATTTCATGTTCATTTTTTATTTTAATCACAAGTAATCATTAAAAATAACTTCCGAATAACATCTGTGATTTCGAAATTTTCATATTTTATTCCGGGAATAAAAAATTGAAGAATCCAACCAGCTTTAACATACGAACGAAATACTTGTTATTTACAATGTTCAATAGTCTTTTTTTACATTAAGACGTTTTTCGTGTGAATTATGAAGTACAATTACATCGTAGTATGTAATAGTTTCATTTTGTACAAGAGTAGCCTACTCCCGTAATCGAGTAGATAAAAAATAGAGATAAAATCAAACCGGATGAAAAGAGATACTTTTCAATCCAATCTCATTATTTTTATCGAAATAGCGCGAAGTAAAATTAACAAAAGAAAACACCATCTAATTTGTAACGATTGTGCGGCAAATTTGAAATATTAATATAACTTAAGAAAATATTTTCCATCCAACTAATCTCTGAAGATATTTCTCTTCGTAAAAATCTTCTTCAAGTAATGAAAGAAAGTCCATTATTCCGCGCCTTGAATTGTTTAATAGACTTTTCTTCAATCATTACTCATTATCTGATTATGGATGGAAAGAATTAGTAACGGAAAAATTGAAGAAACTTTTATGAAGAAATGTTCGTTAATTTTTTGTAGAGGCATCATCAATCAAGTAGTTGAGTTGAATTGGAGAAACGCTGAAGGGACCGAAAAA